CCGCCGCTGTCCCGCTCTGCGCCGCGTCGCGGGGCGAAGCGCGGCCGGGCGCAGGTGCGGAGCCGCAGCGGCGCCGCTCCGCGCCCTCTAGGTGGCGCCCGCGGGTCGCCGCGCGGCCCCGCGCCTCGGCCCGGCGGCGCCTGCACCTGCCGGCAGCGCGGGGCTGCGCCCGCACTCACACCCACACTCATACTCACACCCGCACTCACATACACACTCACAGACACACTCACAGACACTCATTTGCTGTTAACTTTTTCTTCCCCTTCGACAACTGCTGTTTGCACCAAGCAGCGCGCCCCGCGTGCAGCTGAGCGCGGCCCGCGCTCCCCTCCGTCCCGGCAACCCGGGGCGCTTCCCTGCGCCCAGCAGCTCCCCACTCGCTCCTGCCGTGGCCCGAGTCGGCCCCGCTCCCCCCGGGTCGCCTCGCAGATCACAGTACATTGGGACTGGCCGTGAGCGTGGGAGCCCCGAGCAGCCTCATTAGGAGGAGAAACACCCTCCAGCGCTACTTCTGTCTTTCCTAAGTGTCCCCATCCCCGGGGCTTCTGTTCTCAGGGGGCTCCCTCCTGGGTTCCCTCCCGGCGTGGTCATTAGCACCTGGGGACTTCATCTGGTGTCTRGCTGCTCTGGGCCTCTCTAACTGCTGCTAAGGAGATAGCAGCTTTCGGTGCGGGGAGGCCGGCGGTCGGAAATGTCTCCCGCACAGTGTATTTGCCCGGGTTTCCTCCTTCCCCACTGCTGTCTGCCCCGCTCAGCGCTGACAAGGGCGGCGATGGGAGACTCGGCAAGAGAGACYCCGCGAGCGGTGGCGAAGCTGCGACGGCGGCGGAGAGGCAGCCCGAGAGCGGCGAACCCGAGCGTTTCCTCACCAAGGAAAGAGGAGGAAGGGACGAAGAAAGAAAACAATTTAGAAGAAAATACAAGAAGCAAAAATTAAAAAAAAAAAAGGGGGGGGGGAAAGAAGAAAAGAAAACAGGAAAAGAAAAGAGAAAAAAAAAAGCTCCCTGCTCACTTGCCCCTTCCCCCACCGCACATACCAAAATATCACCTGGTGCCCCCTTCCCACACCACACTTCCTGGAAGAATTGCTTTGTCAACATTGAAATCCACCCAACAATTTCTGTCCTGATTGAAAGCACCAGCCCGTCCCTCGGCCCTGTGCTGAGCCGAGCGGCGCTGCGGGCCAGGGGAGCCGCAGAGCCGGGCCTGTCCCCGCCAGCCCCAGCCTCATCCCATGAGCCTGAGCACCTTCCTCCCGTCCACTTTTTAATGTGCAATTGAAGCTTTCTTTCTTTCTTTCTTTCTTTCTTTCTTTCTTTCTTTCTTTCTTTCTTTCTTTCTTTCTTTCTTTCTTTCTTTCTTTCTTTCTTTCTTTCTT